CAGCTGCTGCAACAATCGGTTTGCATAACCAAAGAATTTCTGCACAAACTGTCAGAAACCGTCTCAGGGAAGCTCATCTGCATGCTTGTCGTCCTCATTGGGGTCTCGACCTGACTGCAGTTCGTCATCGTAACCGACTTGAGTGGGCAAATGCTCACATTCGATGGCGTCTGGCACTTTGAAGAGGTGTTCTTTTCACGGATGAATCCCGGTTCCCTTTCTTGGGTACTTCGAACTGCGTCCTCTAGGGGTCGCTATGGGGAACGCCTCGTCGTGACCCGTGTCTGAAGCATACATTGAAAAAACACCAACTCGTTGGCCGGCGACAGCCATGACGTCACTACCGGTGCGACTCCAGTATAAATCGGCGCCGGGAGCTACACATCATTCTCTTCTTCGTCTTCATTGACTGTTCTGTTTGAAGCGTGCATTTTCAAGGAAAAAGTAAGAGCTATCTATTAATATTATTGCGAGTTTTTTCCAATGAAAAAACTCCGTTCTTGTTTGTCTCTCTTTTCAAGTAAAGAGGGGCAGCCATCTGCTTCCCGCGGTTCAGGACCCGCCGCTGCTGAGGCACGGAGGAGAATGAGCTCGTGGGGATCTCAGGTGGACCTGGCCGATGAGTTTAGAGAGGGACTTTCCTTCTCGTGCTCATCGGCGGGGGGCGGGGGACAGCCACTGGGGGATGATGTTCTCTCTTTAACATCATCTGATCCAGGGGCCAGTGCTCTGCTGGTTTCAGCCCAGGACGAGCAGGAAATGGATGATGAGAGCGGAGAAGCTGAGGCTGAGCCTTCTCAATCCTCCTGCCCTGCGTATGATGAGCTCTTAGAGGTTATGGATCTGGCCATAACCCTCCAGCTCAGGTGAGCCTTCCTTCCTGATCTCCATACTGAGATCGAGAAGGAATGGAAAAGGCCGTTTTCCTCACGCATCCATCGGTTTCAGCATACCAGTTATGCGAATATCGAGGCGATGCGCGAAAATGGCTATGAGAGAATGCCCCCTGTAGAAGAGACGCTAGCTAGCTATCTCTCTATGGGAGAGACATCATCTCTCAAAACTCCCTCCTTGCCATCCATGCCTCTTCAAGCTACATCTAAAATGAATGGCAAGGCATACGCAGCAGCAGGTCAGGCTGTTGCTTCGCTGCACACAATGGCGGTGCTCCAAGCATACCAGGCTGATCTGCTGAAAGACCTGGATAAAGATGAGGGCCTTTCTTCTGACGAGATGGCGGAGTTGTGCCGCACCACGGATCTTGCTCTCCGTGCTACTAGGCAGGCTGCCTCTGCCATGGGCAGATCTATGGTGGCGATGGTAGTAACGGAGAGGCAGCTGTGGGTAAACCTGGCAGACATCGGGAAGAAAGAAAGGGGTTTTTCTTCCGATGCCCCGGTTTCGCCCTCTGAACTTTTTGGTACATCCGTTGAGACGGTCATCGAAAAGTTCAGGGAGGCGAAGAGCGGCCTTCAAAACCTTCATTCCATGAAGGTCCAAGTCTGAGCCCGAACAACCCAGGGGTCCTGGCCCGTCTCGATTTGAGAATCAGAGACGAGCACAGAAGGCTAGTGTCGCGACTCGCGCTCCTCCTCCACCTGCAGGTAGGGGTAGGAAGTATCGTGGGTCAAAGGGAGGTAGGCAAGACCTGAGGGATGTGATCCAGACAAGGCGTCAGCGCTTTTGTCCGGATCAGAGTAATACTTAGGTATCCACTCTTTCCCTCAGGGGGTGTAACATCTACCCTTTTCTTCCCCTTCCTAATTCCCCTGTAACCACCATATCTCCACCTGACCGAGGTTAGGTGGAAGCTTCCTAAATCATTGTAACCACCTTACTGAAGGTCCGGTCTAGAGGCTTCTCCGCTTCTCCGGCCAACGCGGGAGCCGTGGTGGGTGAGTACGATCCATGTCTAAATATAAAAAATGTATATAAATATATGTATATATGTATGAACTGGTGGTTGTGTGTACCCTTCTACTAGTTTCTTTGCAGTGTTTCCCGGGACCTGTGTGTTTCTGTCCCTTTTTCTAGGGTAGGTCCTCGGTGGGCACCGCCGCTGCTGGGTGCTCGACTTGCAGTGTTTATTTCACTCGTCGAGATATGTCCAGAAGGTAAGTAAGGTTTCGGTTTCATACTTCCTGGATCATGCGGC